TTTAATAAGAACTAGTAGATGTTATAATAAAATAAATTTTGAAAGTACAATGATGCAGTAAGAAAGTCACGTCATTATAGTACATGTGGACAGCCTACATGGACAATGAGGTGGCATGTAAACCTAGTATAATGAGTAAATTTAAATCAAAAGGTTATCCAATGCTACAATAGGTAAATTTTTTAAAGTACAATGTCCTAATAAAAAATAGTTTGAAAATACATTACTGTAATAAGAAAAACAGGAAGTACAATGCTATTATAAAGAAATTTATGAAAGTAGATTGCTATTTTGTGCATTTTGCCCTTATAATATTTGCATAATGGCAAAGTTATTATGGACCGGTCCATGATTGAGAGTGAAAGGTTTATGAAATATGCAGGAGAGAAAACTAAGGTGCCGTTTACTAAATGCTTACCAAGTCAAATTACTTTACCGGATGAATATGACAACGACTAAGAATCTTATTCGGTAAGAGCGAAGACAAAAATCAAGAGTCTTAACCGGTAAGTGAGGATGACGACTCTTACCATGGTTAGCGCTTACCGAGGTAAATTGTTGCATACGATGCGTTTTAGTGAATAAAATCTTATTGATAAGTAAGCGATACTGTTGAATTTTACTGGTAGGTGCTTACCGGATAAGTGTTTAGGTAAACGGCCCCTAATGTGACAAAGCTATGAATCTCTTAAGAGGTTCATGACTATGGATGTTCTTAACTAATAAGACTATTTGTTTTTCTTTGATTCATACCATTATTTTTGCTTAGTTACTTATAAACATTTAATCGGTAATCAAATATTTTGTTAAATCAGATTTTATATTCTTTTAAGGCAACAAAATTAAATTATTAACATAAAATTTATGTAATGATATTACGAACAAGTTATAGTTGCAATCTATGTACCATTGAAATAAACAGTTTTGCTGTGAAGTTTTAAGTGTAAAAAATTGATCTCACAGAGAACATGTCTCATGTGATTCCAGACGTGTGTATATATATATATGTGTGTGTGTGTTTTCTGTTGGGGTTTAATTACAAGGATGTAGTCATAGATGCGTTCTAAATACAAAATTGGTTATATAGGATGGCTAGAATATTGTCTAAGGGGGTGTTTATTAAACATTTACCCGGTAAGCGTTTATAGGGTAATTTTCCTTACCGGATGAGCATGACATGAATCAAAAATCTTATTCGGTAAGAGCAATGATAAAGATGGAGAGTCTTACTCGGTAAGTGAAGGCAACGATTCTTACCCGGATAAGTGCTTACCGGGTAAATTGTTGCATACGATACCATTTTGATGTACTATATTCTTACCCGGTAAAATAAATTATATTGTTGACTCCTAACATTAAACGCTTACTAGGTAAGCATTTAGGTAAACGGCCCCTAAGTGTCCTTATAGAATATTCTATATAAGTTAGGTTAATACAAACAAACTATAAATCATCCTATCTAAAGGTGTTACAATATATTTATAAGGCGTTTTAACAAGTTTTATGATACTTTTAAAATAAATGTTCTTTTAGCTATTTTATACGACACTTTTGAGAAGTGTTCTACACCCGTTTTTTATATGACACTTTTTCAAATAATGTCATATAAAATCGTTTATACGATACATTGTTTAAAAAACATACTAAAAACTTGTTAAAATGTCTAAAAGTATCTTATAAACCTATTGTAACACTTTTAGATATGATACTTTTTGATTTGATCCTATAAACTTAAGTTCTATAAAGTAGTTTTTAAGATGTTTCTATATTTTATAAAATCAGTTTTATTGTAGTGAGTATAAATGGCCTATAATTGGAATCTAAAGAATTCTTGTGTAGAAAACCTTTCAAGTAGAGAGTAAAAATCACTAGAGATTTTTCTGAATGTATTCCAGGGCCCGCAGGATTGGACCAATGTTTAACAAAAAAAAAATTGGGATTTTTAGGCTGCTTAAAGTCCATTACCACCAATAAGAAAACAATAAAAAGTCCTCTGTAAATAAAACCAGAGGCAAGCAACAAGCATCATACTCTTGGAATAAATCATCAAGAAATATGGAATCAAACTAAAGGAAAAGAGGAAGAAATATCACCCAGAAAAACTATTCAATGTCGAAGAGAAAGGGACGACCTCCGGACCTCCGAAAAATGATCTCCACCATTGAGAATGTAGATACAGATTCTACGAAGCCTTCGTCCAAAAATCATGACGATCCAACAATTTAGCTTCCGAGAGTAAGCAAAATGACGCAACTATGTTTGTTTGAGAAGTGCAACCGAGCATTTCTTCTCTTTTTTCTCTCACTTTTGTATTTCATGGATTTCCTAAATTGTCCTAAAAAACTTGTTAAAACGTCCAAAAACGTCGTATACACTTATTGTAACGGTTTTACGTAAATCGCACGGTAATTTGGTGCCATGAACTTAAATTCTATAACACAATCTATTATACTCTATGAAAAAGAAGCCACATCAAAACGAAGAACAAGAAGCCACATCAAAAACATGAAACCACACCCTTCTTTGATATAACTCATACTTAACCCGAAAAAGCTTTAATTCGCTTCCATGGTTTTTGAATCCATAGATCAACTCTGACCCATGAACAGTGTCTTCCTGGTTAGAAGGGTATACGAAAATCAACTGCTAAGATTTGGTTCGATAGATAGAAAAAAGGGTTCAATTTCTGGGTGCAACCCCCTTAAACATGAAGAATCCAAGACCACCAATGGCCAATGCTAATACTATAGAAACCACAACCGCATCAGCAGCTTCGGGTCAATCGGTTTTTTTGATCTTCCGTACTTGACGTGCTCTGTCTCCTATTTCATCGTAGAGATGCTTGCTGATGCTGTCCAGCTGATGCATGATTTTACGTTGGCTTTGGACTATTCCAGATATCTGTTTCATCAAATGGAAACAATCAGCAGGATTCCAAGGAGATCAAACAACTCGACACGTAAAATTAGAGATAGTCATACATACCTCTTCGATGAGGGGAGAATCCTTTGCTAGCTGAGTGGAAGAACCTGAATGGTGCACAAGAGATCCGTTTAAGGAACCATTGGCTAAATTTGAGGTGAAGTATGAAGTTGATGCAACTCCATTGCACGGCTCGATGTTTTGTTGGTTACCCAAAAAAGTTCTTGAAAACTGCGAACTTTGAGCATCAATCCGAGATGTGAACTCATCCATACGATCATTTAAGGTAAAAATCTGTTCCGAGAGATGGCTCATTGCTCCCTTGAGAAGATGAGAATGCACCATAGTCAAACATTAGCAACACTTGAAGAATGCTCAAAATAAATGCAACATTTGTTAGGAACATAGTAGTCAGATTTTAGCATGTTCTTCTCTCTTTTTCTATTTGTACTGCTATTGCTTACTCATATCTATTTTTTAAAATTTTAGCATATCTGTCTTTCATCCTTTCACACTTTTCACTATCAAGGAGTCTTCGTGGAAACAGCCGCTCTACTCTTTATAGTAGAGGTCAAGTCTGCATGACCTCACTTCTGGATGGGATATACTGGGTGGATTCGTTTCGTTTGGTTTTGATAGGGAACATAGTTCAACAAACATCTAAAATGCTCCTCGGGAATCTTGTGAAATAAAATCAATGGTATTAGTGATCACTAATGGGATCAATCTGAGGGAGTATATTAAAAGGTCACCTGGATTGCCATTGCATCTGTTGGCTCCGTGTTCTTGTCATCAAACCTTTGAGTGTTGATGGTATACACAGGAATGGAGGTCAGATTTTTATCCCTCGCAGTTGAATAAGAATGTGATATCCGACTGTCAAGTACGTAACCAGAAACTTTCAGAAATCAATGTATTGCAAGTTTCAACCACATTTAGAACAAAAAATGCAACACAGATAAGCAGGATTGGAACTACGAACGATTAAGAGGATTTGTCTTTGTCAAGAAATAATTGTAGCTGTGACAAATCTTTTATGGAAGAAGGTTTGCAACCTTTAGCTTGTAGAGTGTGCTACAAAGAGCCCCGGACCGTAAAAGCTCGAATAAGCCCGCGAGTAGACCCAGGCCAGGCCAAAAAGCCCAAATCAAGCCAAATATTTTTTAGAGGCCTGGTTAAAACTTAGCCCACAAAAGCCTGTCCTGAAAAAGCCCGATCAGACCCATTTTCATACCCAAAGCTCGTCCCAGCCTGGCCAGGGCTTCTGAAAGGCCCCGGAATTTTTTTGCTTACTAGAGCGGGCTTGGAAGGCTCGATCCCAGGTCTGAGCGTGGGCCTTGTGTATCTCTTAATGTAACTCCATTAGGAAAACTGAATATGCTTACGAACAATTAGACGTGTAATCAGTAAGACATATTTGCAGTTTTTTTAAGGGATGGAGGGAGTAACAGTAAGCCGAAAGAAGCATGTGATCATCTTTATACGAAAACAAAGCATTTTCGGTGGTTAGTAACATAGCACCTCTTAAAGAAGTTATTTCTTGTTGCAGCAAGGGAAAGTGCTTCTTTCGGACTAGATAGCATTTCATCATCTATGCTCAGCTTTGTTTTTAGTTCTTCAGGAAGTACCTACATAAGCTTCAGATTAGAATTAAGTTGCACTAACCATGGTGCAAAAGTTACAGTATTTATCATACCGTGACCTCGTTTACAAGCTTTTCGAGTTGCATTAGTTCCACGTATGTACGTGGAGTGTATGAACCTTCCAATCCCAGCTGCTCAGCAACACATCTTACAGTTATGCGGTCTCTTCCTTGCACCTTCTCGTTAGAAAAAGAAATGGAAGGCAACCACATATCAACTATAAATTAGAGGTTTTTCTGGCTGTTAACTTCAAGGGGTCATGGGATTAGTTGAGGTGTGTGCAAGCTAGCGTGGACTCCCATGGTTATCCAAAAACAAAGAAAAAAGGCGTGGTACCTGAACATAATGTCGGCCAATTTGTTCCAGCCAGTCTATTTTCACACATACTCTGTCATCACAAAAGACATTGCTACTTCTTTTCAAGATAGATGCTATCGTGTACCCCAAGGCCATCAGACCACCAAGAAGGCGCACACTAACTTCAAAAGTTATCCTTGGAGAGATTACAAATGGAGGATCCGTAACCCATTCCTACAATTTAAAAATCATACCAAGTTTCATGTTTTTGCAGTAATTCAAATTTGTAGCAAAAAGAAATAAACCCATCAAAAGCAACATTGAAGACAATCAAAATAACTTTTAACCTCAAACATGAGACTGTATCTTCCTTCTCTATTTCGCATCCTCAAATACGATTGGCACGTTTCTGGATCTTCACCAGGTGGTAGTAGATATATATCGTAAGTCTCCTCCAAAGTTTCCGTATGTTCATCAGACATCACAGACTTGGCTTGATCTACAGTTATGTTTCTTGATGACTGATAAAAGATATCAAGAAAATGTTCAGAAACCCAACTTTAAATTTGTTTCATATTTGAAGTTGATAGAAGAAAAACTGAAACAAAAAAGGGAACCTTGAGGATATAAGTTGGACTTTGGAATCCGGTGAAGGGATTAAACTTGTTCACGATTCTTATATGGGCCGTCTTGAGGTCAGGTTCTATAAATGCCTTGTACATTGGATAAACCTGCATAAAGAAAACATCAGAGATTTCTAGAAAAAGATGTTCTTAATGTTCCAAATTATGGTTTCTAGAATAGATAAGCAAGAACAGACCGTCTCAGATATCTGGTAGATTATTTCTTCAGGTTCCTGCCCAACACGTTGTATGTCCCTTAAAACCCGCTTTACAAGATCAAAGTGAACACCACCTGTAACAGATACTCGAAGATCCAGTAACGGACGCAATTTCTCGCTCAAAGCATAGATGCCTTCAATTATCACAATACGAGAGCTTGGGACTTCAAGTGTCCTGCTATCACACATGAGCTCATAAGTTCCAATCCAGGTGTGCGGTGTGACAAGGATGGTAATACTTACATACTCCCTCTGTCCCGAAATTAGTGTCTATATTTCTATTTTAGTTTCTCCTATAAAAGTGTCCACTTTCCAATTCTACCCTTAGTTATAAAATGGAGAAATTCATTACTCCCTCTGTTATAAAGGGTAAAATTGTCATTTAGTTAATTTAAAATGGTAATAGTTACACATTTTTAAAATTGTGTGCCTTTTTCATTGGACATGGGGCTAAGGGAAATACTAATCGACTGTGATATCTTATAAAGGTTTTAGTTATAACATTCACAAGACTAGTTTAGACTTGGATCCATATACTTTGACCATAACCAAACCAAACAAACGTGATATATCCCACTCGGAGGCTGGGTCTGGGGGTGGGATATATACAGACCTGACCTCTACCTCAAAAAGTAAAGCGGGTGTTTCCATAAAGACCTTGGGCTTGTGCAAAGTGTGCAAAAAGAAAGGATAGAACTTTGGGAAACAAAAATATTGCTGTGAAAGAACATAAGAACTTGAAAATAAGAAAGGTGGTGCTAAAATGTGAAAATTCCCGATCTCAATGGGAACTTTGATGAACTTGAACATAAGAACTTAAAACTTGATGGTCACAAGGGGACTGCCACAATGAAAAGTTCATCAAATAAAAGGCAAGTCACCTCACAACCCCATTATGTTTCGATGCTACCTTTTTGGTCAAATTGAGACCACGGTTTCCTGATCAAAGTAACCGACCCTATCCCTAAGCGAAGATGCGCTACTTTACTCCCAGTTACTTGTTATTGGCTCATAGACGTTGTCAAAAGAAGAGATGCAAACCTGTAACCTGTTCGGGAGCTAGACTTGAAATCATATATTGGAACTTCAACAGATTTCCCTTCCTTCAGATCATTAATGTTTTTCAGCAGTGTGTCGTAGTCCGTCAAGCGAGGATCTGTTCCCGAAAAAAGATATTAGGATGTTTGCATCCTTCCACTGGTAATGTATAAAAATATGTCAACTTTCAAGATTTGCATATAGAAATCATTTATTTTTATTCCACCTTTCCTGAATAATGATTACTGCCTCTAATTCAAAACCCCAGGTCGTTTAGAGAAATGAAGTGAAATCGGAATGCACGACCCAGAAGATCCTATCATCAGGCACTCTTGAGATACTCAAGATTTGAATACCACATCCTTGTGAAAACATGAATCAACACCACACTCAATGAAAATACCCAGTCTAATGATTTTCAAATGGTTCAGTTTCCCAACTAGTATCCCGTACCTCCATGTATTATCATTTATCACAAGCTCGCCATCGCCTGGAAAAAGTTTGACATTTGCAATCACTTTTCACAAGCCAAGGGTCTTCTTGGAAACAGCCACTTTACTCTTTGGGGTGTAGGTCAAGTCTGCGTACATCTTATCCTCCCTAGACCCCACCTCCGAGTGGGATATGTTGGGTTCGTTTGATTTGGTTTAATCAACCGGAAATGTACCTCTTGACACATGGCATCCTTAGTCAAGATGAAAGCACATTTCTCTTAAAAGATGCATTGTTGGACCTAGGCATCTACTTACCTTAATACCCCATGTACCTAGAGGTTCACCAATTTGGTTTTTTTCTAAACTTCTTTTCAATTGAAGAATCTTACAACAATTCCATGTATATAATCAGCTATTTATCACAATATTGAGTGCAAGTACTCGCCATCCAAGATTCCTCCGAAACATGATAATAGCAAATCTGACAAGCCTTCATGAAGCATACAAAGATATCTTGAGCCAAAAAAAGACTTAAAAACCTCCTCCTCGACCACATAATCATGAATAGCATATACTTCCTCATGGATGGCAAGTCATTTTTTCATAATGACTGATGGAGCAGTCAATAAGAAATAGTACAAGCAGAGATCAAAAGCTACACCACAATATTTGGAAATCGACAACAGATAGTGTCATTAACCACGTGCGTTTTCTCTGGTTTTTGAAAATTTCATTGTGGACAGAAATTGAGAGAAAGATAATCTAGTAATCTATAGGACAAAAGAACAAAGAGGTGAGTTAACTGTTATTGCAAATGCTGACTATTTTTAGAACAAATCAAATTAAGACGTACTCATATCCCATAACATCTACATCACGATTTCCCCCTTTGACTAAACTAACATATTACTAACACTTCATCAACTACAGTAAAGGCTAGGAGACCCTGAACTTATGGGTTCACATGGCCTGAAAAGATACCCACTGCCCCACTCGCATCACAGCATCACTCTAATTCTCCCTACACTATACATTCTACTGAGAGGTTAAACCTTGTCTTTGCTCCCTAGTACAAAGGCCAGCTTGTCAACAACTCTAACAACAATCTGGCCATGGTCTACCAAATACAATGTAAATATATAACAAAAACTCCATGAAAATGGTGATAATCTACAATGCAGAAGAATGGTATCACAATCCTACCATCTTGTCTGCCAATAAAACAACCACTGAACATAAATGTTCATATTTTGTTGAATATATCTAATTGAAGTACTCCCACAAGATGCCTCTGAAGGTTAAATCTCCAAGAATCTTTTTCATAGTTACGTTAGAAGGTTTTGACAAACTTATATTTTGTTTTCAATCACTTTGTTATTAGCATATTCGATTAACAAATAGAGAGGTGAAAAAATAGTGAACAAGCTGCTGCATCAAGCTAGCAACTTCTTACAACAGAGTTGAGTTTCTTGCACATCAATAATAAATATTAAGTTCATAGCTACATGACAACCCAATGTAGGAACAATTTCTTTCCTATATTTGGCATGCCTCTTTCTATCATTTAAAGACTAATATAAGTCTCCTTATAAACCAAAATATGTAGAATTAGCACACTGGTTGGAAAAGGGTTTCTATTTCATATTTGAACGTTTATTACTCACGTGTTCCAAATAGAGCACTTGTAGTATAAACAAATCAAAAATAAGTTATAAGTTTTAACTGGAAGTTACAATATTTACCACATTGTACAGTGTATCATATGAAGTTGAACCAAGTAGCAAATTCCAAGGGCCGTAAAAAGTCTTACCATCAAAGTTATCATCAATTACCCGGCTACCATCATTGTAGTTGTCCACTGAAATGACAGCAACACTGGGCATAAAGTTGAGTATTTTCTCGGTAAATGCTGTCTTCCCAGCACCAGAAGGACCAGCCAATCCAACCAGTATGATTCCTTCGTTTTTTTGTGCTAACATCTGGCATGCACGGATTACAACAAAGAAACCCTTCTCAAACGAAAGATTATCTTGAATGCCTGCAATCTCATAACGATCACAATCTTTTCTCTTAACTAAACGAACTTGATCTTTCAAGAGACCTTGCTTCCTTGATGTCAATTCACCAATAGAGACTTCTTGAGTCATTAAGTCCATGTTTGCTTCCTACAAGTGTTGGAAAAAGCAGATAAAAATGGATAAAATGAATCAAAGAAACAGAAAACACAGAGCACATTAAAAAATACTCAAAAACGAAAATTGTAATCTTTTTTGTTTTTACATGATTGGCATCATTGGAGAATAAGAACAAATGCACATGAAATTTGAGCAATTCTGTTCAAGAGAGGAGATCATTTTACCACATAACTTATTCAAGTACTTTGGTGACATCTAAAACTAGCATGACAAGCACATTCTTGTTCCTAAAGCACTTTAGAATTCCAACATTCATGACATCTTAACCTCTAAATGCATTCAATTGCGTGTCCTTAAAGCAGGGACCTCTGCAGTCAACATCAAAACATTCATTGTGAAAGAAACAATACTTCCTAGAATTTTTAGAATCAGGATATGATTCATTATCGACCCACTTTATCTAATTACTTCCAAAGCTATCATATTACCCACAAATTATTTTGTAAAATAAGTAAATGGCAAACCATTCAAATGTTTGCCAACCTTAAATCTACAAAACCCAAAAGTACAAAAACCAGGGACCAAGCTGCTCAAGAGCTATGGTGGGCCACGGCTGCCCTGAATTTATCCGAATGTCGGCCTTGGGAGTTGCTATATGCACCCCATTTTGTGTCAGAATCAGATCAAATCTTGCATTTGAAAATTTAAAACATTGAGTCTTGATGTTGATGTGAGAGGAAATATAATAGGTAACTCTTTCGAAATATGCAATTTAGTCAATTCTATAACTTATTTAACCAAAATGGGAGAACCCAATAGAAAACATATATGCAAGCATCGGATTTGAATCCCATTCAACAAATATGGGCTGGAAAAGTCATCAAGATTAGAAGTCATAACTGAAATTTATACAAATATATATTACAAACAGGTTCTGTATACTCTACAAAGCAGAAGATGTCATCAACTTACATTAATAATTCTCAAAAAACATGATACAAGTTAGACTTTGAGAAACATGAAACGCAGAGTAGACTAATTTCTCCATCATTCAAAAGCTTTGACGTCGACAATTTCAAAATTGATTTGTTTTGAACGTTTAGAGAAAAATTATTGCCAATTATGATCAGTTTTGAGACAATTACTGCCAATTAAAATGTTTATGTTCAACTTGTAAAATTATTTGCATCAATTTTGCATTTGAAATAAAATTTCGACCTCAAAAATCAAAATCTCGAACTTCAAAACAAAATTTTGCATTGCTCAATCGAATTGAATCATATAACCAAAAAATTCCGGCTTCAATCCATATTAAAACATGAAGCAATACCCAACACCAACATAAAAACGGCTTCAAAAAAATAGACAAACATTTCCAAAACTTGGATTGGATCTTAAAAACCCACGAAGAAACAAGCAACCGACTTAATCACCAAAACATCAAAGAGCAAGAGAAAAATTACCAATGAGGGGGATTCCCTTTTTGGTACGGCAAAAACTGATTTAAAGAGAGATCAACCCAGTGGTCTCAGAGCTTTATACAGTCGAGTTGAGCTTTTTGAGCAAGCATAAAGCGTCAGCAATGGGGCATGCTTGGATGCATGTTTATATATAAATTGAATGCATTTTTGTTTGTGTTGTTGAACTTTCTTCCCTGAAACGGAAAAGGGGTTATGATTTTCGAGGATTCTCTAATGGGAGTCGGGAATTCTGCAGGATTTGTGATTTGAAGAAACTCTAGACTCAAAGGAGGAGAATATACATACATGTGTGTGTGCATATAGTAAATATATAAACCCTTTGAAACAAAGAATATATCGGAGTAATTGAATATTAAAATTGTTTACCTTTTTGTTTTCGGCTATTGGGTCCCACATTATTTTAAAGTATTTTACTTAAATTATTTAAGTTTTTCTTTTCAAAAAATATAACTATTTTATTAGTAAGTAAATCAATAATATATGTAGAGAGAGGGTGAGATGAGGTTGAGTTATTATGCAATTTTTTATATTTGTATAATTAATATAACTCAATCTTAATCGTTCAATTAATTTTGATTAATATGTGATTTTATAAAAGTTTTGATTGTTTTCTAATATAAGGTATTGATCATAATTAAATGAACTTTCATTATTTTCATAAATATCTCAATTGATTGGGTTGTACAGATGAACATGGTTGCATTTGAAATATATCTTATATATAATATTTTTATTTTCACTTTTTTATAAAAATACTGGAATAAAAATAGAAGGTTGAAGAGCTTTTGGCAATACATATTAACTTTCTCAAATAAACCGAGCATGGTTTTGGAAACTAATGTTCTTCTTTAGGGTGGTAATTTTGTACCAAATTTCAGTATCGGTTTAATTAATATCAACTGTAATAACGTATTAGTATAAAATTTTGATTGGTATACGGTATTGAAAGTTTTATATCACGATACATGTTATATATTATTATTTTTTTATATTTTTGACGTATTGAATATTAAATATTGTAATTTTAACTTTTTTTTGTTTCAATATTTGAATAGTTGTACGTTTTATTTCATTACAATTTAAAAAAGAAAAAAAAACTCTTAAAGTTAGGTTATGGGTTACTATTACATTGCATGGATGTAGAAATTTTGTGTTTTATTCTTTTTTAAATAAATAAATCATAAATTCGTTTAGATCTCGTTTGATATGTAACATTGGATTGAATTTGGAAAGATTTAAATTTTGAATTTCATTTTAATCTTATATTTGGTTTTAAAAAAATTGGATTTGGAATTTCATAAACATTGGTTTTGAAAATCCTACGAGGGTGGTAGTATTTTTCATGATATTTGGTAGAATATATATATATATATATATATATATATTAAAAATTATTTTGTAATAATCAATTAATTAAAAGGTATTTTAATTATTTCTATAATTATTTAGAAATTATTTATAAAGAATTGAATTCAGTTTCATTTCAAATCTTACAAACCAATTTCCAAATTCAAATCTGTGATAACCGGGTTTCTCGGTTATAAACTTTTAGGGTTTTATTTTATTTTATTAAGTGGTGTTAGTTAAAGGGTTGTTTTGAAAATGTCTTTTAAAAAAAATCTCATCCAACGCCTCACTCTTTTGAAAAGAGTTTTATATTGATTTTTGTGTGTGTAATATATATATATATATATATATATATATATATATATATAGACTTGGGATCATGTGAGACCAATGGTTTTTCGTGAGACCCGTAAGACCAATTCTCAACCCTTTGATTAGATTTAC